CAGCAGCTTTGTGCCCCGCCAGCTTCTTGTTCCATGCCTACCATGGTGTTTTTGTACAGACAGCACTTCAGACAGCAAGTATGCTGTAGTCGGCAATCATTCGTTTTGGTACAGAGTGGGACAGGTAGGGGGTGATGTTGCTGTAGTCGAACGGTGAGACGGACGTGTAGTTCAGTTTTGGGCACGCGTACGGTGCTGCAGGGATTATATAGGTGTAGTAGTACCTCTTCGGGCTCTTGGATACCTTTTTCTTGCTACGTGTGCGTGTTCTAGCACTTTCGTGACCACGGGCTGAGAGTCTTTGCTAGATTTTGGCATTTAGCAACTGGCATACGGTTTAATGTGAAGACAACAACAACAACAACAACACGGCGACGTGTCGAGATCAGGATAAGCTACAATAGATTGGTGATGTGGACTGTTCGTTCATCCAAATCTTTTGCGCGCGCGCGTGAAATAATTTGAAACCGTCTCGTTTTGCGTATAACTACTGTAGTCTACTTCCTCGTCGGGAGGTTGCAGCGGTGTGGCCCGAAGCTCTCATTGGAAGGCAAAATTTGTAAAGGCACACAGCTATTCCATCCAGCGTCGAAGAATTTGCCAATCCACCTGTAGATCGGACGGGGCTTCAATTTGGTGGAGGATACGCAACGTTTTGGCACAAGTCGATCTAGATGGGAGCATTTTGGTGTCGGGAGCACCTGCTGCATGCTCGTGTTTTGTGCGTAAGAGTGCCGGCCATCGACAAAGCCAACCGTTAACGACGCGAAAGGCACCCATCAAGCTGAGACTTGCGGAAGCAAGGCTTCTAGAGGAGTGCAGGACGGCCGATGGGGTGAATTGTTGCGTCTCGGGCGTTCGGCTAAAAAAGTACGTGGTTCAAGCTTTCGGACTGAAAGTGTTATTTCGTTCATGCACTTTTTTTTCCCGCTCTGTGAGACCTCGCTCTAGAGACCGTATGGTCTAGGCCTCTTGAAGGTATATGACGCTTCGGCTTGACGCTTTGGCTCTACCTTCGTTTATCTCATCAAAGCTGTGGCTTTTCGGCATCATCTGTACTTTCTGTCAGCCCCGTCCCGCCAAACAAACAAATGAATGTATCCGCCGCGCACAGCTGCCCCGCCACACGCGAACGGAATACTATGAGGATATTAGTTAGCAAACCGCCTTAATAATTCAGGGTGGGGTCTTTCCAGCCAATTCACTCCACTCTTTTCTACCGCACGTGTGGTATCTGATCGCTCTGACACGCTTCGTCATGTGGAGCAAAGGACGTCGACGTCCCGTTTTGAGCCTCTCGATATCGGGGAACCTAGCGCTGTGTGTCAGGACACGCATGACGAGGGGATTTAACACGGTGCGCCGCTGATTTACCCTGCACTCCTTTTCTTACGTGATGAGATGCGACGAATTTCGTGTCTTCTTGGAAGGTAAAAAAAAACGCACATAAGCGACGCTGATTGTGTTGCCGTTTACACTGTTTAACCGGGATGCAACTCCCTCCGTGTATCCACCGTACCTGCTACGGTTGACTTGAGCCACAAGACACCCCCGGGCCATCGCCTTTTCTCATCCTCTCTGGATTAACCCACCCTGTCTTGCTGGACGATCGACTTCCAACACTGCTATCTACGCTTTCTCCGGCACACGTGCAGGCAGGAATAAACGGCTCTCCCATGAACAGCGGGACTAAATACTTTCTACGACACAGATTCAGACAACATTTCTACAAAAAAAGGACCAGGATAGAGCATTGGCCACTCCGACCTACGCACGCAACTGTCAACCAAAAAGAACTCTACGCTTACCTTCTCATGCCCCTCGCCCCCAAAGATTAACAACACAACAAGATCTAGAACGAAGGACGAAAAACACTCCTCAACAACCGCCCGCCTCCTCCTTCGTCGACATAAATCTACAACAAGAGGCCCAACACTGAACCATCGCCCCTGCGGTCATTTCCTCGTCCTAGACGGAACGACGTCTACCGTTGCCAAGATTAGTTCTTGCCCAAGCCGTTGGCCAGGTAGTACGTCATCAGCGTCGCAGTGGAAGGGTTGAAGCCCTCGCTCACGTCTCCTCCGGCCATACGGGCGGTGGACAGCGTCGTGCGCACCTTCGCCGCCACAGGGTTATTTTTTCCATTCGTACACAAAGACAAAGAAGAAGATTCAGCAAGGGGGGGGGAGAGACATCGTGTGAGCCACAGGATCGGACAGGCGGGCCTGTGACTTCGTCGAAATTCCTGCGGACAGTCTCCCTAAACGACCTATAACTTTCACGCGTACCACTCAACTGGACCACAGGCATTTGTCTCGGGACCCTACGTTAGTATCACGTACCTCGCTGCTTTGCCCGATGTGAAAATTCTACGGTACATCTCTAACCCTCGGTGGCGTATATGGTGACTTCGGTCGGCGAATTCAACCATTGTCGGCCCGCTGTTGTGCCTCACCGTGTGGAAGAAAACTTGTGCAGCTGTTGAAAGGCAGGACTACAACTTCCGCTATTTTTCCGCTTGAATTCACGAAAATACTATACATTTTTTCAACAAGCAATCCGCGAATACTGCCGGTGTAACGGTACCAACCAAATATTACCGTATTACACCATATAGCATGAAGAAACCACCTTCGTGGTGAAAAAAATACATGCAGCAGTCGTGGTCCCTCATGAGGGCGCGTGAAATACCTCGGCACATCAAGTTGTGTTATACTTGAAAACGGACGAGTTCCTGCTACAAGGAGGGCGGGCGGTGAATCGGCCTGGCACATACCCATCCACAACCGCAGGAGGGGCTCCAACCCCCCCCTCCTATGTGACCCCGGTTGGGTCGTCTAGCTGGCAAAGTGGAGGATAGGGGCCAGAGGGGCAGACGACAGAGTCCAATGATAGGAGAAACATCCTGCGGAGGGCCGACTACTGCCTGTACCCTGTGACAAAAAAAAAAAAAATGAAGCATTGGAACCCAGTTCGAGCTCGTACAGCTAATGCTAAGCATGTATTGCTAACTCATCCCGGACTCCAATGTCTGTGGACAGGGCACGTAGTGCTCCCGCAAACGCGAAGAATTCATTGCCGATGCATCCCAGACTCTTCATCTGTGGAATAGAGATCGAAAAAAACAAGAAAACACGCCAACCGCAACCAACCTTGGTCGCCAGCGTCTTTCCGAGCTCCACCCCCCACTGGTCGAACGAGTTCAGCCCCCACACGAAGCCTTGCACGGCAGTTCGGTGCTCGTAGATGGCCAGCAGCTGCCCGCACGAGAAGGCATCCAGCTTCGGGAACAGCAGGGACAGCGAAGGCCTGTTCCCCGTGAAGACCTGAGCATCGAGAGAGAGAGGCGGTTTTGTTGACGGGGGGGGGGGCAGGGTTGGAACAACGCAGTGGCAAGTGTGACCGAATCGGAGGAGCCACGGGGGGCGAAAAGAAGTGCAAAAAAAAAAAAAACTGAACTGAACTCACACGCACAAACGACCACCACGTACACCCAACCGCAGATAACAGTAGACGCTGCCCTCTTGCGAGCGCAACGGAATCAGGCGCCTCCTCCATCTCGAGCCCCGTCGCAACAGCGATATCCGCTACCCCAACAACAGCTTCCGGCATCAGCACAAGACAGCCGAAACACCACCGCGTCGTGCGGGCGCAGCCTACTACCATGCACCGACGCACTCTCATCGCTCCAAGGTTTGAACAACAGATTGTTTCGTCTAGTACTCCAAATAACATAACCCGCCCTCTTATCAACCACTACCGCAACGAAAACCCCAAGCCGCCAACAAAGCAACACCGTCGCAGGCGAGCGTTGGCCCTGACTTCCCCCGATCTACTGTTTCTTTCGCCACTGGGAACCACAAACATTCCATGTTCTTTTTCTTTTCCGATCTCCGTGCTCAAATCAATCCAGCATCATTGTCACAGGCCAATCGCCGTTTCTCCGGAGGAACAGCATGCGAATATCAACACAGTGGCAGTGGCATCAATCACCCACTGCGGAATGCGTCTACATGAGTACACCCCCCACTACCCGTTCATCGTTGTGGAGCGTAGCTTAGACAAGCGAAAACCTGGCATATCGCCCCGTCCCGGAATTGTAGGGGCGATGCGAGGTCCATAGCCAGACGAGTGGTACGGCATGCAACACATGAGCACACCCCCACACCCTCGCAACACCACGGAACCCCCACCTTGTGCGGGCGAAGCCACTCCGGCACCCCTTCCTTCTCGAGCTCCTCGGTGGTCTTGCCGTACGCGAGCGCGTCGGGCTGGGCGAAGAAGTTGGACATGAGCTCGTCGTGGTTGGCGACGGGCTCGCCCTCGAGCAGCACGGGGCACTGCGACGTGCAGTACCCGACGAAGTCCGCGGGGATCACGCGTCCCTTTGAAAAGAATAAAGAGAACGTGCCCGAGAGAGAGATGAAGAGGAAGGGTGGGGAGGGGGTGGTGAGCGTTCTTGCTGCAGAGTTTTGCACGCAGCAGAGGGAGAGAGAGAGCGGGCGGGGATGTGGGTACCGTGCATGACAGACCAACAAACAAGAGGAAAATAGCCAAGAAGGGATAACGAAGAGGACAATGGACAATAAAGGTACTCATTTCATTGGTGCTAGCAACCCCCGCACACCAGCCGCTGAGGAGTGCCTGCTCGCGCCGAAAGCAAGCTGCGATGTGTTCAAGAGAGGATAGGGGTGGGCGGCGCGAGTAGCAGCAGAAGCTGTGGTATCTATCTTCACGAGAGGATGTGGATAAACTGCCCGTTGATGCTTTAAACACAACGGCTCCTTTTTCTCTTGCCCCCCCCCCCCGCAAGCTTACCTGGTGGATGAGCTGATAGAACGAATGCTGCCCATTCGTGCCGGGCTCCCCGAAGCCGATCTCCCCCGCATCGAAGGGAAGCACAGATCCATCCTGCGCGACGCGCTTGCCGTTGCTCTCCATGTCCACCTGCAAGAGCAAGAGGGGCGGCCACAAGACAGAGAAAGAAATTGGACTGGAGAGGAAGAAACACGACGAACGAACGGTCAGACTACAGCGACCGGCTATCGAATGAAAACACAACAGAGCGATGACGACGACGACCACAGAAACAGCAGAAGCGGCGGCGGCGGCAGCAGCAGCAGCATCACCACTTCTAACGACAACGAGAATGCCAACAACCACAACCACAAAACAACAGCGAACACAACGAACACACAAAAAAACGACCCTCAACCCTCCTCTCACCTGCTGGATGTGAGCCGCGAACCGAAGCAGCGCCTGCGAGTACGGCAGCAGCGCGCGCGCGCCGTACCCTAGGAAGGTGGAGTTCCAGACGCCGAGGAGGCCCATGAGCACGGGGATGTTCTGCCGGGGCGGCTCGTTGAGGAAGTGGTTGTCCATGTCGTGGGCCCCGTCCAGGAAACGCCTCGCGATGTCAAAACCGTAGTGCAGCGCGATGGGTAGGACGCCTACGGCGGAGCACACGCTGTACCTGCGGGCCGGCAGAAAGATAGGGGGGGTCCACAAGATGAAAATATGTTTGAGGGGGGGGGGGGGGCG